GGGGTCGTTTAATCATGCATCTGCACAGCAAATTTCACTGGGCAGTTCTGGCTGCTTTTTAATGACACCACGTTGGACCAACTCACCCTGTAGAAGAACCTAAACTAAATGCTAGACTTCATCGTTCAAGCTGTGGGACTCCTCAGGAGAAACAGGAGCGACGCCATTCCGGCTTCTGCAGAAGAAGAGCGCTTTCCAGCGTCAGCAAACCAAGCTTTTCAGTCACTGACTACATTTGCACAAGCTTGACGTGACGGCTTGCATGACGATGGCCTCGAAACTAACCTATTCTTCTTCCTCCACCAGAGGTATGCCGACAGCCCCAGAATGAAGATGACCAGGGAACCTGTGCCTAAATATAGTGTACAGTGATCAAGCCATCAATCAGTCACACAACACGTACAGCTTCATCTGACATAATAGCTCTACACTTCGGTTAGCTATCGCTCTTTTGTACTGATCTGTCCCTTGTGCCTTTTCACATATTATTATTATTATTTGCTAATTCTGTAATACTGCTGCAGCATTCTCTGTATTCTATCCACTGTTCCACTTTACATTGTTACTGCCACCTCATGCTGAATGTCGTAAGTTATATGTTTTTAGACATCTCATATTAGTTAATTCGTATTTATTGCGCTGCAGTGTCACACCGCTCCGTCTGTAGTGTGTGGCGAAGGTATTCCAGATAGAACTTCACTGTACTCTGTACACTCTATTTCTAAATATGACAGTGAAACTCTGGATCTTTGAATCTGAATGTAGATGAGATGAATATCAGGGTGTATGACTCTGATTTCTTTCTTCAATAATAAAATTTGCAACCATTTATAAAATCCTGTATGTCCAGCTCATCCAGCCCATGAAGTCATTTTGATTACTGGGCACATACCGGTTGCAGTGTCCCACTGAGTGAGATGCTTATCTCTTAATTAATTAGCCTCAATCGATCTGATCGAAGAACATATGACTAATTGCAAAAGTGCTTGCATTACATAACCTGAAGAATTAACGTCTGAACCGTTAGGGGATGAACTGGAATGAAAGCTAAAGCACAGAGTCGCCCACTAGACCAATGTTTCTCAACCCAGTCCAAAGAGACTCCCCCAGATGGTTCACATTTTTGCTTCCCCCCCCCCCAGCTGTGGACTGTCTGGGGGTTCCTGAGGACCGTTTTCAGAAGCGCTGCATTAGACGCAGGACTTGGACATCCTGGTGTGGATGAGGGATATATGTTACCTAAAGCAACGATCCAGAAGATTCTGCCATTGTCTTCTGGGTCATCTTCACATTGTAACAGTGCGTGGAGACATGAAAAAAAAAGATTCATTACCTTATGAGTTACACCCCCTTTCCTGCTTTTTTGCTGAATTTTCTGTATTATTATTTCAATTAAACTTTATTGTCATTGTAAAATACCAGAGCAAGTACACAACAAAAGGTATGTTTGTGTGAACACTGAAGAAAGGGCAAGCAATGTAAAATATTTCATGCAAGAGTATTATAAAATATGAGGGAAGAGGAAGAATGGAAAGTAAACATTTGCAACCAAGTTCCAAGAGCAACTTCAGCTTAAAAAGGCTTGCAAAGTGGACATGATGGGATGT